TGCCTTCTGTGACGAGCTGACAAAAGGAAGGATTCCTACAACTGCTGCTTTACAAGAGAATTCCTTCTGCAGCGTGCTGAGAAAACAATCTTTTTTGTGTTGGGCGTTCCATGGCGGGTCTTGCGCCTGTTGTTTTAATGAAAAAACAGTGGCGGGCATTTAAAGGAACCAAAGAGAGGAAGAACAAAGGGAGAACACGTGGTATACCCAGGCGCGGTTTTATTACCCTTACCCTTCTCTTCCCCCCCTTCGCACCACGCGTTCCAGAGGCGGGCGGGTCCAGCGCCGACCCACGAAAACCGCACGGATTGCCTAACGTTATAATGATGTGTATTTTTTTTTGCGTCGGGGCCGAACACGCCCGAAAACCTCAGAAGAAACAAAGACGACGAGGCCGCCGTCGCCCGACCCTCGCCTGATAGCTGGATCGCGTACGAAGGGGCTACGGATCCTGAGCGCTTACCAAGCCAATTACGGATTGAGTGCTCACTAGCTGGATAGTCGAAGGCCAGACTGTCAGATTGGATTGGGCCCCAAAGGCCAATCTGGCCCGGCCAAACTGGATGATTTGGGTTATTCGCCAGACTGGATTCGCGTTGGTTCCCTCGCCAGATTGCCCCCGTTTGCCAGATTGGGCCTGCCAGATTGGCGCCAGATTGGCTTCGACTACCCAGACTAGGTCGATCCGAATATTGCCAGTGTCTTCTTACCTGTTCAGTTGTGACATTCGATCGCACCGAGCACATCTTGCCGAAGCAAGCGATCCAAGCCACTACTACTCCCCACGGCACTTGAGCCATGTACCCGGACCCCCGACGTCATGATCTTTCCCACCGTGTAGACTACCCGAGGTCTCGACCCACTCCTGGGGCACAAGTTTGTCGTCCTCCGGTCGTTCCTGGACGGTCCCGGGGGGCCCGTCGAGGGACCCACGGTCCAACAAGCGCAACAACAACGAAAAGCGTTCCGTTGTTTTCGTGTCGCGACGCGACCCCGTCCTGGGGCACAAGTTTGTCGTCCTCCGGTCGTTCCTGGACGGTCCTGGGGGGCCCGTCGAGGGACCCACGGTCCCACAAGCGCAATAACAACGAAAAACGTTCCGTCGTTTTCACGCGAGGAAGGGGGGACCCTGGGATCCGGCGTCACGACAACGGTTCCACAACGTAGACAGTCCCGACTGGTGCCCTCGACCCTGTTTCTCTGTCGATCTCGCGATCCAGATAGATCCGCGAGGGCACCCAGGCCCGAGATGGCGCGAAATCGCCGAGGGGGAGAAAATGTCGGCGGCAGGATCCCAACGTAATTGAATAGACCCTCCTGGCCATCTCCCGCACCCAGCAGAGATGTGGTCTGGTTCGCCAGCATCGGCATGGGCCAGCCGGAGCCAGGCGCGGCGATCCGACTTCGCCTCGTTTCGGGGCGGCTTGTTGGCGACCCGATCCGCCTCTGATCCGATCCGATTTCGCGGCTCGGTCCGGCTCCCTCCCCCGCCATTTCTTGGGCGGTGCGGTGCGGGACCAGGATGATCTAAGGCCACCACGAGGGCGCCAAGGTAGTCGCGCTTCGCAGTCTGGGCCAGGGCGATTTCGGAGCGAGGCGTGAGTCTTTCATCCTGTTCTAGGGTGGGGACGGCGCGAAAGCACGAAGATAATCTCGTTTTGCGGAGCGCGTGGATCGTCTAGAATCATCGTTCCAGAGCGCTTTCGTTCTGGAACGCTCCGGAGCGGTCGCGGCCCTTCATACATCCTCCAGGATCGCCGGACTTCCGAGATCCCTGGTCTGTCCCGGCTCGATTTTGTCCCAGCCATATCGGGCGTGTGGTAATGGGGGGGTGACCCGATTGGGGGTGAAGAAAATGGGGCTACAAGGGGCATTTTAGGCCCTTGTTCTTCACCCCCCATGCAGGCCACCCCCCTTGACCACCCGCCCGACCACAGTCTCGTCTTGGTTAGGACTGGTCCGATTTCGTCTCGGTCTCAGCCCTCGCCCTTGGTGACGCGAGGGGCTTTGGGCCCAGACATTTGACGATGTGGTGTCTTCGGTGCGCGGCCCCAGAGGTCTCGACCCCTTCCATGGAGATGGTTTGTCGTCCGGGCCAGATCCGTTCCTGATGGTCCCAACTGGAGGCGTTTTTTTTTCCTGCATGTTCTGGCAAGTTTGCTTGCATGGAGGGGGGGGCGCGTGGCTAGGCCCGAAGAAAGTCTGGACTTGACACAAGTCGGGGCTTGCTTGCACGCCTTTTCCGCCCAGCGCTGTTTGGAACGACGGCGGAGGGGGAGGGAGAATGCCATGCAAGTAATTCGCTGGGGTCTTAAGAGAAACAGCCTCTGACGGGGCCCACGGGCCGAAATCCAGAAAACACGCCGGGATTGAAAACATAGCATCGACGGAGATCTGCGGGGTGAACACCCAGACATGCGATGTCCTCATTTTTTCAGCACGCGGCCCTCGGAAGCCCCGACTCTTTCCCCAGGACTGGTTCTTCATCTTGATCTGGTGTTGTTGACGGTCCTGCCTGGCGAGGGCCCCCAGAGGCCGATGTTGACGAGAAGCATCCGTCCTGATTGTCCCAAGACGCGAGCATCTCTGGGAACCTCCCCCCCCGCCATCTGAGTCGAGTAATTGCCTCGGTGATCCTTTTTCATGGAAGTTCTCGCCTGTTCTTGACTGAATTCATATCGGCGAATGGCTCCCAGTAGCGCCGACTTGCTGTCAAATAGCGCCCAATAGCGACCAATGGCGCCCACTGGCGCGACGGAAGGGAGATGCAGTATGTCCGTTGTGCCTACGATTGGGCGCGCTATTGGGATCCGTGGGCGCGACCACAAGCTTCAGTGAGTTACCTTCTAATCGAGTTGCTTGCGACGAGTGCCGCCACAGTGAAAGCCAGTCAGTCTGGGTGGCGATTGGTCACGGTGGCATGGGAGGCCGTCACGTGTGACACCTCGTGTCTCTAGGCTTGGGGAAGCCGTTATGATGAGGATGGTGATTATGATGTTGAGATTCGTGTTGGTCAGGGTGATGATGGTGATGATGATGTTGATGATGATTATGATGTTGTCGATTATGGTGATGGTGAGAATGATAATACTAATAATAATCGTGGCGATGAGAATGATGATAACGATGATAACTATGATGAGGAGGATGAAGATGCTGATGATGCTGATGATGATGGTGGTGGTGGTGATGATGGTGATGGTGGTGGTGATGGTGATGGTGATGGTGATGGGGATGGTGATGGTGATGATGGTGATGATGAAGCTATCCACTTTCCAGCCCCACGCGTCTATGTCCCGAGCTTTTCCGAGCCTCCCGCCCCGAGGACCGAGGCGACACGCTATCCGCTCGCGGAGCACAGCGTGTCGCCGGGGCAGCCGCGGGGCGACACGCTGAGCCAAAGCTCCCGACCGTAACCTCGCCCCCGGGCCATCCAAGTCCGGCAAGGTGCCTCGGTGACCCTCTCGGGAGCCGAGTAGTGGGGACGGGATGTACACGGGGGGGTGAGGAAGGGTGCACCCTGTGTGCCCGAAAGGGGGGTGTCTCCTGGGGCCCAAAAGGATGACGAACGATGCACGTTTTCAAACGGGGCTGGGACGAGGACAGCTCCGTTCCCGAGCGTTCCTGAACGCTCTCAGAGCGTTCCGGAAAGCTCTGAGAAGGCCGCGGCGCCAAAGACATGTTCCAGAGTTGTCAGATCTCAGAGATTCTCGCTGTATCCTCGCCCGAATTGGTCAAGTCTTGGCTTCGTCTTACTCTGGGGCCCAAAACGGGGGGACGGAGGGTGCAGGTTCCTCACCCCCATGGGCAGGGGAAGGAGAGGTAGACGTGAGCGAACGGTCAGACTCGGAGCCCGCGGCAAGAGGCGCCCCCCACACGCAGGAGGCCACAGCACGGGGCCCACAGGAACCACAGCAGCATCCAGATTGCGAGCCACACCCTCGTGACCGTCGCCGGCTCGTCGCCCCCCCCCCCATCGATTGACGCCCACCCTCGATTGACGCCCACCCTCGATTGACGCCCAAGCGCCCCCCCCCCTCATCGATTCACGCCCACCCTCCCCCCGCGCGGTGTCCGCGGAGGCCACCTGCCGCGGCCGGGGCAGCTGCTCCGGCCCTTCGGGGTGGCGGTGGACCACGAGGGCGCGCTGCTGGTGGCGGACAGCGGGAGCTCCCCGGGGGGGGAGGCGGCGGGAGCGCTACTCCTCCTCCTCCTCCTCCTCCTCCTCCTCCTCCTCGTCCTCCTCCTCCTCCTCCTCCTCCTCCTCCTCCTCCTCGTCCTCCTCCTCCTCCTCCTCCTCCTCCTCTCCTCCTCCTCCTCCTCCTCCCTCCCTTCCTCCTTCCTTCCTCCTCCTCTCCTCCTCCTCCTCCTCCTCCCTCCTGCTCCTCCTCCTCCTCCTCCTCCTCCTCCCCCCTCCCCCTCCCCCTCCCCCTCCTCCTCCTCCTCCTCCTCCTCCTCCTCCTCCTCCTCCTCCTCCTCCTCCTCCTCCTCCTCCTCCTCCTCACGTCACGATTCGCGCCAGCGCCGTCTGGGAAGCACAAGAATCGCCCATGCGTGGCCAGGGGGAGGGCGGGGCCAGTGACGGGCGTTATCGCAAAAATCTGTTCCAAGGGATCAGGACATCGACAGGACCACGTCACACAAACTGGCGACGAAGGAGCAGGGTTGTCATCATGTTCGGCCTCCTGGAGGCCCTGTTCTTGGCTCTGCGGTGGCAGTTGCCGTACCCGCTTGTGAAAGAATCAGGACGTAAGTAAGCACGGATGCGCTTCGTCGACGCCCCGTCGTGGGCGACAGGGTTGTTGGCGCTGGATTGCGAGATTTTCATTGTTTTAGCATTTCACCCCCTGGACTCCGTGCCGATCGATCTATCGTCCAGCATGGTTGCTCTGCGCCACCGTTTTGGCACATAGTTTGGGTCAAGTCCTCCGCTCACGCCAGGATCCCATTATTTGCTCTGGCACCCTGAAAGCGCTTGCTGCGCACGGGGCCACCTCGTCATGTTTCCGACGCAGGTCCGTGGACGGCTAAGCGACCGTTTCGATGGACAAGTGGTCTTGCTCACAGGAGCGACAGGATTTTTAGGCAAGGTGGTCCTCGAGCGGCTGATGTGGGCGACCCCAAATGTTCAGGAGATCCGGGTGCTTATCCGGGGAGGCAGTGGCGACGACTCGGCCGAGTCGCGGTTGAGCAGGCTGTTGCGAGGCGAGTGTTTCGATCGGTTGCGGCAGAGGCATGGAGGCCAGCGCGGGTTCGAGGGCTGGGCCAGCAAGATCGTCCGATGTTGCAGCGGAGACATAGCGCTTGGCGGATTGGGCATGCCCGCCGATGAGTACGAGGCATTGCGGCAGGGCCTGAACCTCATCATACACTGCGCCGCGCTCGTATCTTGGGACGAGCGGATCGATCGGAGCATCAACGTGAATTGCCTCGGCACGCGGCGGTTGTTGCGGCTGTCGGGGGATAATCCGAGCTTGCGGTGCTTCTTGTACGTGAGCAGCGCCTTTGTCCACGGCTTGCGGTGCGAGCAACGGTTCTGCAGGGAGGCGCCTTTCGACCCTGACGCCTCCATCATGTCGGAGCTCCGACCGCAGGCCCCGGCTTTCTCGCTCGAGGCGGAGGTGGCGGCTGCGCAGGAGTTCGCGGCGAGGGCCGAAGCAGACGCAGAGGAGGGGACGGAGCTCGCCAGGTTTATGCCAGAGGCGCGGAAGCGGGCGGCGGCTGGTGGGTCCAGCGTGGGGGCCGATGAAATTGCGGCGAAGTTGCTCCGCAGGCACACGGATCGGAAGATTGTCGATTGGGGCGTCGCTCGCGCGCGTTCGCATGGGTGGTTCGACAACTACACCTACAGCAAGGCGCTCGCGGAGATGGTGCTCGTTCGCGATTGCCCGGACCATGTGCAAGTGGCCATTGTGCGCCCTTCTGGCATCACGGCCGCCTTGTCGCAGCCTCGTGCTGGGTGGCTCGACGCCTATCTGCTGGTGGAGCCGCTGATACACGGGGTCGGGACGGGCCAGATCAGCGCGTTCCCTGGCAGTCCGACCAACGTCATAGACGTGGTTCCCGTGGACATTGTCACCAGTGTGATCCTGGCCGCCGCGGCAGATGCGGGCGATCACGGCGGCGAAGTTGACGGCAGTGGCGGAGGCAGCTATCACGGCCGAGGTCCCGATCAGGCCAGTCCTCGCGTATTTCAGGTTGGCAGCGGTTCGTCAAATCCCATCACGCTGGGGGAGATCGAGCGGATTTGGCGAGAGTATTTTGCCGAGTGCCCGATGATGCGCGACTATGAGCAGGAGCTGCCAACTCCGGTTGGGGTCGCCCCGATACGGTTTTATCCCGCCATGGAGCCGTTCCAGGCTTCGCACCAGTTGTGGTATTTGAACCCGCTCGCGTGGACAAGAAGCGCAATCGAGCTGTTGCCTTTCTGGGATCGCGTCTCGCTCCTGCGCCATGGGTGGGACCGAGCGAACAGGCTCAGCGGCAAAATCGGCAAGGTGTTGCGGCTGGCGGAGCTGTACTGCACCTACACGCTGAACGAGTGGATCTTCGAGACACGCGAGACGGAGAAGCTGATGGCGTCGTTGTGCGAGGAGGACCGCGCCGAGTTCCCTTTCGACGTGAGGTCTATCGACTGGCGCCGATTCTGGACCGAGGTTCACATCCTGGGAAGACAATTGCGTACCCGTGCTCATGTCGATTCGTCCCCCTCTTCCCTTCCTCGTGCCGGGGTCGTATGGAGGAGCACGGGCAGGGTTGCATATTCGAGCCGGTCATCAAGAGACCTCCCCTGGTCTAGATAGTCTAGTCCAGCGTCTGCTAACCAGCCATCGGTACCACCATCATAATAGCCATCGTGACAACCATCGGAACAACCGTCGCGACAACCGTCGGGACAACCATCGGGACATCCATCGGGACAACCGTCGAGACAACCATCGGGACAACCCTCAGGACAACCATCGGGACCCCCGTCGGTACAACCCCAGGGATGCGGCCCAGCGTCCCCCCCCCCCGCACATGCGAGGAGACGCACGCGCCAGGCGGGCCGTAGCGTGCGTGTGAGAGTGATGGCCTTGGCCGTGTGAGCCCAGATGACCAGACATCCGACGATGTCGCTTTTTCATTGCGCAGCCGAGGACCCGGCCCCTTCCCTGTGGGTGGTTTTTCGCCCCGGATCCACTTGAGGGCCCCGGGGCGCGGTACTGTGCCCCAGCGACCGAGATCGAGGAAACGCGTGCGCACCGAGAAAAAATCATCTGAGGCCCGAGGCCCGGGCGCTGTAGTCAAATGCATAACCTTGGCCTGGCCCTTGGCATCGCTCGGACGTGTGCATTTTTCCTTCGGCGAGGGCCATCGAGGAACATCCTTGACCACTTGGGGGAAAAACCACGCACGAAACCGAAAAAAACATAACACATGGACGTCTGAGCGATGGCGAGGGCCGTGTGAGCACGGGTATGGAGTTGCCCCCCCACCCAGACCTCCGGCGCCCTGTTGCCTCTCAGTGCGCGGGCCCAGGGGCCCCCCCAGCCCCCCCACCCCCGGGGGAAGACGGCTTCGTCGCTCCCGGGCGGCCTGAATTCTGCTGGCGCCGGGAGGCCGAGAGAGGCGCCCCGCCCTGATCGTGGAATATTGGGATGTTCCAGTCGGCGCTGGCGAGACCGGTCGCTACCGATCCGTTGCCGCAGAGGATGTGGTATCGGTCGCGACCGACTCGGAGTGCCGACCGTTCGCCGCGGATCGCGACCGAAGACACTGGTATCCGATGATCTGGGCAGGGCCCAAGATCGTGCAGGGGCACGCGCCCTGGTGCTGCTCCAGAGGCCGGAGGTCTGGGCGCGCGTCCCGAACATGCGCCGCCACCTGCTCCGAGAGCCAGGCTTCGGAGGCAACCCGCCCGCCGGGCCGCGAGCGCGCCTGTAGCCGAGGGCGGAGGGCCCTTGCCGCGCAACGAGCCCTCTGCGGCCCTGGCGCCTCGCCCCGGCGGCGCCCCCGCCGCCCGCTGTCCAGCCCGGCGACGCCGCCGGCATATCCGAGGGCGTGTCTCGGGGCTGGATAGACCTCCTAGGCTGACACGTCGATTAGCGAATTGGCCGTTTTCGCTTCGCGAGAGGGCGTCGCGGCCGTCATTTTTGCGGCTCCGGGTCCGTCGGTTTCGGTCCCGGGCCGTTTTCACTAAGGGGAGGTTTACTAAAGGGAGGTTTGTCCACAGCCGAGTGTCTGTGCAATGCGCAGCCGCTGGGAGGTCTTCCCTGGGTCCCGGACCCGCCGGGATTGAGTCGGGCCGGTCCCTCTACAGGGGGGGAATTCAAAAACATAGGCAAAAATAGTCAGGGGACGATTTGTTGACTATAGTTTTGCCCATTTTTGCATACTTTTGGGCTATTTGTTTTTTTGTTCGTCCAAAATCCCCCTGTAGGGGGACATGCCCGACCTAACACTGGGAGGTAGGTTTGCGTCTCCGGGGGGAGGGATTCGCCTCAGAGCAGCGTATCATGGCCCCAGGGCCCAGGACCGGGCCCCACCCCGAGGCCGAAGCCGAAGAGCAGCGCGAGCACTGCACAGAGCACACCCTCGGAGATCTCGGCGGGCAGCTCTCGGGGGACCTCGGCTCCGGGCGCGGCTCTGGGCGGGCAGCTCTGTGGAGACCGACGTGGCTGCGCGGCTCCACGTCGCACCTCTGCGGTGGGCACGGGCTGCCCGGCGGACCTCCGCGGGTGAGCAGCGCAGAAGAGCGGTGGGCGTTTGCGCCGACATCTTCCATCTCCTACGAACTCCGACGATCTGTGTTCTTCCATCTCCACGTTTTCTTCCTCGATGTCGACCTCCTGGCTTGGGCCCGCCATCGGGCCCTGGGATTATCAGCCCTGCATCCCGGGCGAAAAGCCAGCCACGTGGGAGGGGGCGGGACCTCTGGGGCCGCGCTTTGCAAAAACACATCGCTGAATGGCTGGGTTCCTTGCGTCAGCTGCCCGCGTGAGGTCGCGGGCAATCGCCCGCGTTTCCACATGGCGTGCCGTGTTGGCGGCCTGCGTAAGCCACCGCGTAAGGTCGCCATATCGTTGCGCGTCAGACCCCTTTCTTTTCGTTGTTGCCCAGTTGGATGTTGAGGGCGCTGCAAGGTCTGGCATGGTCGTTGGACGCATCGTTATCCTGTCCCCCCTTTGTCAGGTTTCCTCGAAGAAGGGTTGTCGTTGTCGCGGTCTCGTGAGTTCGTGATGGTTTGAGCGATTTCATTTCCGGTGTTAGATTGGCTCTGGCCTCCTTCGAGGCTCTGCATGTGATTTTGTTGGCCGCAACTGTTCTTCTAAATGTCTGGTGCAACAGCGGCAGGGTCGGAAGATTGTGCGTAGTTTTTCGCTACGCGTGGTGGTTTACATCAGACATGGCCCAAGCAGGGTTTTTTTATCCAAGACACCTACGGCGAACCACCGCCGCCCCCTGCCGTTGGAAGTGTCTATGTGGCCAAACGTTGGACCGACGTCTTACTAAGCTGTCGTGCAATGTGTTTCCCGAGCCGTCGTGGAAACACTTTCGAAATGACTTGGGATAGAAAGAGAGGAGCAGTGGGATGAGGAAGAGGAAGAGGAGGAGGAGGAGGCGGAGGAAGAGGAGGTCTCTTGAGGGCCTCTTAGGCTCTTGGGGGCTTCTGAGAGGCTCTTGGGGGCCTCCTAATGCGCCTTGGGGGCCCTCTGGGGGCCCATAAGGGGCCGCTTGCCTCACTCTGCCGTCTTGGGCCCTGTTGGGACCCCAATTGGCAAGCCTTGGGGCCCTCTTGGCCAGTCTTGGAACCTTCTTGGGGGCTTGTGGGGCCGCCTGGGGGCTAAACTGGAGTCCTTTGGGGCCGTCTGCGGTTGACGGAAGCTTGAAAACAGAAGAACGCGAACACAATTGACAAGTTTAGGAAACATCAGTGATGCTGTCTTCTTGGAGGACCTTTTGGAGCCATCCTAGGGCTTCTTGGTGGCCTCTTGGAACACTTGGAGGTCTACCTGGGCCATCTTGGAGTCGTCTTGGGCCGAATTGGAGGTCATCTTGGCCGTCTTGGGTGACGTATTTGGCAGTCTTAAATGCAATAATGCGGTCGGGATCTGTTGGATAGCGTGTCGCTCCGCCGGTTCTGGCCCACCGCGCTTCGGTGCGACACGTTATTTTGGGTAGGCACGTGCCTTCAGCAGTATTGCGATAAGCGTATCGTGAGGCCTTCCGAGGTGCATGCTAACTAGACCGCCCATGAGGCCGTTGCTTAAACTTGTTCCGCGCCGTCGGGACTTTCATATGTGTTCAAGAGAGCCCTCTTGTGCAACCTTCTGCATTTTCAGGTTCGTGCCCTTCGCAAAAGACATTACTGCGCGCACGGTGTCGCTCCATAGCGGTGCGACTACGCGCAACGGGCGATGTAAGAGGTGCTCGCCAAGCAGATCACGTTTGCGCCTGGCACCGTTGCAAGCGCATCGTCACCCAGCCCACGTGCGGCCACGCTTGCCACCCGCGCGGGCCCCCAACGAGGGGCGAGTGACAAATCTGCGCCGCGTCGAGTTGGGAACGCCATTTTCAGGCGCAAGCCGCGCGGCGCCGAGGCGAGAGCTACATTTCAAGCCCGCTCGCGCGTCGACGAAGAGGCGTGCGAACAATGTTCGCCGCGCACCAGCGAGAGGCGGGAGCTCAATCGACTCCTCCTCCTTCTCCTCCTCCTCCTCCTCCTCCTCCTCCTCCTCCTCCTCCTCCTCCTCCTCCTCCTCCTCCCCCCTTTGGCTGGCCTTCGGCGCATCCCACCACCGTGCCTGGGGTGTGGGCACGGAGCGTATGGGATGGTCGTTGGGATCTCGTGGGAAGCCTCGCGGGGGCCTCCTGGAGCCCGTTTTGACGCCTCCTGAGGGCGGGGGTGGGTCCCCATTGGGGCCTCTCATGGGCCGCTTGCTCTTGTGGGCCTCGTGTAGCCTCCTGGGCGCCTCTGAGAGCCTCCTGGGAGCCTCTTGGGGCGGAAGGCTGAAATGTTCGGTTCGTGCTCCCTCGCTTGGGCTCTTTTTGGGGCCGTCTTGGGGCCCCAATCGGGCCGTCTTGAGCGCCTCTTGGGCCGTCTTGGGGCCCTGTTGGGCCGTCTTGGGGCCCTGCTGGCAGTTTTGGGACCCTCTTGGGGGCCTCTGGGGCCGTCTTGTGGTGATCTTGGGGGCCTCTTGGGCCGTCTTGAACCGTGGGGAACTCGAAACGGTGAGAAAACCAAACACTTTCAACAACTTCCAGGCACACAATGATGTGTGTTTCTTGGGGCCCTCTTGGGAGGCCTCTTGGAGGCCTCTCAGGGCGTCGTGGAGGCCTCTTGGGCCGTCTGGGGGCCATCTTGAGCGTCTTGGAGCGTTCGTTCAGCGATTCGCCGCCCTCTTGGACCGTCTTCGGGGCCTATTGGGGCCCTCTTGGCCCGTCTTGGGGCTTCATTGGGTCCGAACAAGGCACGCGGCAAGATGTCGGGGAGCCTAGGGGGCACGCGAGGAGCCTTGTCATCTTTGGCAATTTGGGCTCCGGGAGCCCCTCAAAGACTCCTCAGGAGTGAGGATTGCTACTTAGAGGATTGGCCAGGGGACCTGAAGACGCGCCCACTCCGTGCCCAGATGCACGGTGGAGGACTCTCTAGAAGAACGAGCGCGGCGCCGAGGCGAGAGCGACACTTCGGCCCAACACGCGGGACGTGCGCCCCCGCTCCACTCCCGCCACGCGTTCAGCAGCATGGACCGCCGATGGCCCATGTTGCAACGGAACCCGTCGGCTTCGCACTGCTTCTGAAAGGGTGGGCTGGAGGGGTACAGATGCGGGGGCTATCGGCCGACAGAGGCCCAAAGCGAGAGCGTGTCGCAGTAAAGAAGGGGATTCAGGAGGATGAAGGAGGAGGAGGAGGAAGAGGAGGAAGAGGAGGATGAGGAGGAGCATAGGAGGAGGAGGAGGAGGAGGAGGAGGGAGGAGGAGGAGGAGGAGGAGGAGCAGGCGGAGGAGGAGGAGGAGGAGGAGGAGGAGGAGGAGGAGCAGGAGCAGGAGCAGGAGCAGGAGCAGGAGCAGGAGCAGGTGGAGGAGGAGCAGGAGGAGGAGGAGGAGGATCCGGTTCCACAATGTTACGCAGGCTGCTGCTCCTGCCTGCTCAGCCACGCGCAGGGGCGGGGGTTAGGGGGAGGGGGGAAGGCTCCTTAGAACCGCCCCCCTCTTGAGGGCCGCGGCCCCTGCGCCTTGCCCCCCGCGGGTCGGCCTCCTTGGCCCGACATGGCGCGCCTCGCCTCGCCTCGCCCCAGCCTTGCTTCCTAGAGGGCGCGGGCCTTGCCTGGAAATGTACGGCCGGCGCCTTTCTGAGAAGCAGCCTCCTTCTTCTCCTCCTCCTCCTCCTCCTCCTCCTCCTCCTCCTCCTCCTCCTCCTCCTCCTCCTCCTCCTCCTCCCCCTCCCTAAGAAGCCTTCCCCCCCCTAACCCCCTGGCGCGCGGCGCCAAGCCCCTGCCGCCTCTGGCGCCAGCCCGCCGCCGCGGGGAGATGGGGGAGGGGCCCGCGGACGTCAGGAACCACCGAGTGGTGCGCTGGGGGGCGTCGGCGCCGAACGGCGAGGCGGCCGAGGGGGGACGACGACGCGACGACGACGACGACGGCCACGTTCCCCTCAGATCTGGGCGTCTCAAAAGAGAGCTCCAGCTCTGCGCGTTGCAGCCTCGGGTGCAATTTGCTGGCCCCAGGGCAGTCAAACAACGACTCGGGATGAAGAGCAGACCGCTGGGAAGGGGTCGAGATCCCCTGGGGCCCAGGTCACAACAGATTGCGACGCCAGAGGAGAGAGGATGACGACAACGACGTCGACGGATTCGTTTCGGACATGGTTGGGCGTTTTCGAAGGGTCTTGAGGTTTCCGATCCCGTCCCCGGGGTCGGCTGTTCATCCTGATTTTTCTCGTCGACAATCCCGAGGAGGGGAAACGGCCTCCAGAGGCCGAGACCTCAGATACGGTAGGGCTTGCACGGCGTTGACGCGGCGCCGACCCCAGCGCGGGCGTTCAAGGTACAACGCCGCCAGTGGCGCAGAATCGGGCAATGTCGAACGATCTGCGCTATCGCAGAGCCGCGATCGTTCAGGGTTGAGCGATCCACGCGGCGTCAGAGACCAGCGCCCGCGACATCGATGTCCTGCTGCGCCCGGACACCTGCGGGTCGACGCTTTTGTTCGCGTCTTGGCCTCGGAGTTCCGTTGGGGCTCCCTTTCGAGAGGCAGCCGCCACGGCCAGGTGTGGCCTGAGCAGGTGCAGATTCTGGCACTGTTTCACGGCTTCGGGCAGGTTGCTGCAAGTCTTTGGCAGCCTGAGGCAGTTCCTCTTTTTCAGATTCTGGCAGGTTTGCCTGTGTGGAGTGGGGGGAGGGGGAGGCTTGGTCAGGCTCAGAAGGAATCCTGGACTTCACGCAAGTCAGGACTCACTTGCACGCCTGCTCGGCCCAGCGCTGCTTGAAGAGGCGGCGGAGGGGGGGGGATGCCATGCAAGCAAACCTGCCCGAGGCTCTGGAGCTGGCATCCCTCGGGCGTGTGCGCTTTCCTCGGCAAGGCCAGCGCTACGGAGCGCCTTCCCCCTCGAGGGGCCTCGTGGCCCAAGCCTGCCGAGCAGACGGGCACGAGGCCGCCACGCGGCACGGGCATGGGACGCCGGAACGCCCGCACGCCGGTCGGGGTGGGCCGATCGTGGGCGAGCGGCTGGGCCGGGAGGCCCAGCACCGCTGGGCAGGCCGAGGGCGAGGCTCGCGGGCGGGGTGGCAGTGGCAGGCCAGCCACAACTGGGGGAGCTGTGGTCCTTAACCCCCCCCTGGGAGACCCATCGATGTCGACACGCCTCTCGAGGGATCGTCGATGCGATGCGTTCCCCCAGGGGGGTGAGGGCCACAGCTCCCCCAGTTGTGGCTGGTCGGAGTGGGTCACCGAGCGCGTTCCACTGCTCGCAGAGTGCCTGCTCGCAAACGTCCGAACACACACACACACACAGACCCCCTCGCGTCGTGAAAAAAACACGACGGCAGGTTTTTCGCTATTTTCGGCCTCGGGGGGCCTTTCCTGGGCAGCAGGACCGTCAAAGAACGACTCAGGATGAAACACCGGTCCTGGGGAAGGGGTCCAGACCTCTGGGGGTCGACGTTGTGCAAAAAATCATGACGTCGGGGGTTTGGGCATGTCTGCTCCGACGTAATGTATCGTAGATCCGCCGCGGCGGATCCAGGCCATTTGCGAGTACAGCGGGGGCCCATGCCAAGGAGCACCCTGCGTGCCGCCAGGGTGCCCTGGGTTTCTTGGGTTGCGGTGGTTTTGCGATGGAAGGCGTGACGTTCCCACGCCAAAAATCAGTGTACGCCCTGGGCCTCAGGGTTGGGTTTCTTGTGGAAGGCTTCTTGTGGACTGGCCTCCACTGTAATCTAGGCCCTAGGCCTCCCGGATGGGGTCGGAGGATCGCGCCGCATCGCCGATGCATCGGCGATGCGGCGCAATGGGGAGCCCGATGTTCTTCTCGCCGACGTCGCCGGTGCACCGCCGATGTCGGCGATGCATCGGCGATGCTGCGCGATCCTCCGACACCATCTACTCGGACACTATCTGGGAGGCCTCTACCTGCATGGGGGGCGAAGAACAGAGCCCGCAAGGGGCCCTCTAAGGCCCCTCTCGGAGCCAGCAGAGGCCCAAAAGGGGCTGCAAAGGGCCCCATGGCTCCTTTCTTCGCCCCCCACTGAGGGCATCCCCCAGCGCCGCCCGCCCGAGAGGCGCGGGCACCGTGCAGGAGGGGGGTCTCCAGAGGCCTCCGGCCCCGGACCCCCTCGCGTCGAGACCAAAGCGCGACGGTCCGCTGTTTGGAGGGGGGGCCGTCTGGGGGCACTGGTTCCAGCCAGCAGGAAGGGCGGGCAGCTGGTTCGGGGTTCTGGGTTCGGCAAGATGCTTTGCCTTCTTCGGCTTCGGGGGACCGTTGTCAGGCCCCGGGACCATCGAAAACGGCTCCAGGGTAAAAAATTACACCAGATGGACCCTGGAACCGATTTTGAACGTATTTGGCCTCGTCCTCCCTCTTGATCGACGCGCTGGGGCCCCACCCCGTTCAGACCACCTGGCCGTCCCCCTTTTTTTCTCCCTCCTCCAGAGCAGCGCCTGTGCCCGCACCCGGGCCAGCTGGGTCTCCTCGGGTTTCGCCACGCTGCCGCCCCGGGCGCGCCTCGTGGGCGCCCCCGTGCGCCCTGGGCGGGCTTCCCCAGGTCGCGCCGCGGTGCCGCCTCGTGCGCGCCTCCTCGGCGCCCCGTGGGCGCCCCGTCCGCGCCCCGTGGGCGAGGAGGAGGAGGAGGAGGAGGAGGAGGAGGAGGAGGAGGAGGAGGAGCCCCGTGCTGCCGTCTGCCGCCCGCCCTGTCTTACTTGAGGAGGTGAGTAATGCACAGGTCAGGGCTGTACGGTTTCAGGCGAGGCGGCCTAGAGCGTCGCCCTGATCATCGAGGACCGCCGCCTGGGGTACGCTCGAGGAGGAGGAGGAGGAGCCCCGGGCGCCCCGAGGTTGCGCCGCGTCGGTGTCCGTGCCCTGTGCCGCCTCTCGGGTGCATCGTGGGCGCCCCATGCTCTGAGCTTGCACGACCTGCTCTGTCGCTGCATCGTGTGGCTCACACTGCACGGGTCACACCGCACATCCTTCACGATATAGTTTGCATTACGTAGCGTTCACACCATGGCATCCACCTCGAGTTCACTCCGCCCAGCTTGCCCCGCGTATCTCACACCACATAGCTTCCACCACGTGGCTTCGCCGTCGCTCACACCACATAGCTGACACCAAGCAGCTCTCGCCACCTAGCCTACCACGCAGCTAGAACCTTCCTAACCTCCACAGTGCAATAACGCACTGGCTTGGGCCCACGATGACTAACCGTTTTTATTATACTCTCGACCTCTGGGAACCTTCGCCAGGCCCCGGGAGCGTCGAAAAAAGGGGATTCGGACTGCAGCGCTGGCCCCGCGGGACGGGGTCGAGTCCTCCGGGGCCACGTCGCGAAGAGATCGTGGCGTCGGGGGGTCTTGGGTTCCAGCGGCCTCGGGCTTTCAGCTCGGGACGACGAGGTGCCCCCCTTGGCGGCAGGGTTCGAGGCTTGAGGGTGCGTTCCTGATATCTGTGGGCCTCCAGGAAGCGCCTCGTCGCCACGACTTGCTTCGCCCTGGTATTGGAGCCTGAATTCTCCCCAGGACAGGTCTAGGCGCCGACTTTTCAGATCTGGGCAACGCCGAATGATAGTGGCGGCGGCTGTTTTTGTTGCACTTTCCCTGGGGCGAGTGGCCGTTTCTTGGCCTGGAGGCCGTCAACAGACGACACGAGACGGAAAGCTGGCCCGGGGAAGGGCTCGAGATCCCAAGGCGCCCGCGTCACGAAGAAAATGCGACGTCGGAGGAGAGGGCGGCTTCAGAGGAGAGGGAAGATGACAAATGAGAGAAAATCGAAGGAACAGAAGGGCGATGAGAAGCATGAGGAGGAGAGCGACGAGGAAGGAGGGGATGAGACGAACTAATTAGGCTGAGCAAGAGGAGGCTTGCTCTCAAACAGGAGGTGAGTGACTGGTTCACGAGGAAGGGGGAATGACGACGACGAAGAAGAGGAACGACCTCAGCGCGCACGATGCGTGACCTGTGGTCCTAGATCTGAGGAGGAGGGCCGACAACCTCCAGAGGCCTCTCAGGTATCCAAAGATATCCGAGGCATGGCAGATGTCCCCAGAGGCCTGCGGAGCCCTCGTGGGACTCAAGAGGGGCCAGAAACGTCCGAACACCTCGAGACCGGACCCTCGGTCGATCGATCCTCGGTCGAGGACGAGCGACGGAGACGACGTCAACGACGGAGACGGCGACGGCGACAGCGACGGCAACGACGACGAGAACGACGACGCCGACAACCACGACGACGGCGACGACGTCCACGACGACGACTACGGCAACGGCGACGATGATGTCGACGACGACAACGTCGACGACAGCGACGTAAACGAAGACGCATCGACGAAGACGTCGACGACGACGACGACGACGTCGACGACGACGACGACCACGAGGTTCCTGTCAGCGGAGGGCCAGTTGAGGCAATGGTAGTTGGCCTTCGGAGGGCCCCCGCGTCGCCACGGCTGGACGTAGCTCGCGGAAAGCTGATGCGTTTGGACCCCGGGAAGGGTCTGGGCGCCAATTCACGAATGACCTCCCGAAGACGCACGTCCTCAGGCCTCGACAGGCGAGGACAAAATTTGACACCTTGATATCGACTGGGCGCTAAGAAGCCCCGAGGCCCGCACCTTTGATCATCTCAGGGGTGCGCCTGCCAGGTAGTTCCGGCAGGCAGGGCGCAGACAGCGATAGGCCTTGACCTCGCATTGCAATCAAACGAGTGACATCGACGACGGCGATGTCGACGAGAATGACGTCGACGATGGCGACGACGACGGCGACGGCGACAGCAGCGACGCCGCGCTCTGCGCCGCTGCCAGCG